TTTAGATGGCATCACTTTTACTCAAAAAGACAATTGCCCAACTATGCTTATTCAGACTTAGGCATTTGGCAGACATTTTCTGGAAAATGGATGAAGTTGCGGATGGCTTTCCTCAACTCAAAGATCGCTGATGGCATCCTGGTGATGACATTGACAACTGTGATTTCTGATGACCTATTAAATGTGTTAAGATTTGAAAGATTCTGCCCAAGAGAGCACACTAGTCTTTTCCAAATGACCAAAGAGTGGTATCGCAAAACCAAACATGAGTAAAAAATTCATTACAAGGTAAACCAAAGGATTTTAATGTGACAGAGACAAAAAGATCGTTGACACAGGTTTCAGGTTCTACAATGTAACAGACTTTTAAGAAGTGACCACCTATCGAGAATACTGTTCCCTTTACAAAAACAGATCTGTATGGGTCTGATTTTCTTCACATGTCACCTAAAACAACCTACCCTGAGAATGGATGCAGAAACATGATAACCAGCCTGCCTTCTAGTACACAGACATTAACGACATTTACAAAAGTGTAATACAATGTCATAATGCTTCCTAATTTTTTTGAAAAGACAGCTGTTTTGCATAAAAATATTAGGATGTTAATATGTACTGGATTTTTTACTGTCATTTTTTAAATTACAGTTATATATTTTACAAACTCCCAACTTTATAACACAATAAATATCTCTAAATGTAGTCCATATTTACAAAAATTCTTTGGCATCCTCAATAATTTTTAAAAATGTAAAGGGGTTCTACGACCAAAAAGTTTGAGAACCACTGTTCTGTACCACCTAACTATATAACCATATTGCCTTCCCGCCACCCCGAGACTTGTATCCTTCAAATTAAGAGTGATCTAATACATTAATTTAAATCTTTTAAACATTATAATATATACTGGTTACTAATGTTTGCTAGACACCGAAGAGAAACATCTTTAATAAAAACACCTAATATTCTTCAGGTCCCCAAAGGTCATAAATATAAGACAGATGACAAGCTTTGGAGAGATGACCTTTCAGCCTGGCCTAGGGCTCTGCGTGGCCCCGAGTGAGGCTTTTACTCAGTGATTGCTGCTTCACACATTCTCCATCACAAGCCAAGTCCACATCTAAATCACATTATGAATGGGTATCACTTTTTTACTTTGGATCTAAGTTTCTACATTTGTAAAAGCAAGTGGTGACATGAATAATCCTTAAGGTCACACATAAAAATTAAAGATAGAGCAGGTATTACGTAATAAAAAGTATTGTCTTTACTAACTAGTATAGCAGAAAGTTATGTGACTTTTAACAGTAACTGAAGTTAGTGAGAGAGGTAAGTATACACCCAGAATTAAAAGTGGGTCTCTAGAATTCTCAGATATGCACAGATGTAGTGATTTCATTTTGCAGTTGTGGTTTGTAAAATATTTTATTCATCATACATTTTCAGTCTCCTTCCCAGACCACTATTGTCAAAGTAACATATTTTTAAAGAACACACAGTTAAACTGAAGAAAATAAGTCTGGCTAAACAGCTTTACACAGAACAGTGTGTGTTTTAGGAATGTGTAGTTATGGGAGGGGAGAAAGAAAAGCCAGGAAATAAGTATACAAGGAACTAACATGAGTTTCCATGAACTCTGAAGGGTTTGTGCTTTGTTTCGTTTCTTAACTTTGCTAATGGAACTCAGGGTAATCTCTCCAATAAAAAGTAATGTAAATGATGAAAAACAGATTAAAGATTAATTCCAAGTCTATGATAACAACCATCCTCATGCTTCTCCTTACCAAAGAGTATTACTCTCCCTCTGAGGTTGATAATCTATCCAGATACATTCTCTATCCAGCAATATTTTGTCCAAATATTGAAAACAAAGAATAACAAATACATCAAGAATTAAAACTCAGACTATGGAAATGGATACATTTTAATTGTCTGAATAACTAGGAGTAAAGCAGATAAATACATTCGTCTTTCAATCACAGATGAAATTATATTTTAATGAAGGTTAGGACTGACAATGAAAAGCAAATGCTAATTTTTCTAGTTATTTTTCAATTGCAAAAATTTATACTGTATTGCACAGTGTACTGATTTACTGATTCAGCCAACAGTAAAAGTTCTTTGAAAACTACAGAAGAGGTTTACCTATACCTGAATTAAATATGAATCCCCCAAAAACAATATGACTAAAGCAATTATAAATACAATTCTAAAATTCCTAAGTTGTAAGTATACTATTACTTTTAAGGGCCTTAACCCCCTCTCAAATGCATAATTTTCCAACAGCTTGTTTAAAAATAAAAACCGCTTATACGTTAAAAAACATACCTACAGGTGACGGAACAATGTGTAGGTTCAAGTAAAGACTATAGAAAGCGGAAAGCAAACTCCTGTGTCATTGCTAACATCTACATCATAGGGGAAGAATGAGTATCCCGTTGCTCAGACTCTGGTGGAATTTACAGCTTCCAATCACATTCCAAAAACTATAAAACTCAGATTCAGCCCTCCTGCATCAATCTATCTCCTTTCCTGCTAAGCACTGTAAAGTTAAGGAACCATGCCAGCTGCAAAGCTGAAACGGAAACACAAATAGCCGCTCTCAGTGTGTTGGAGGCACCACAGAATGAATTATCTATTTCCCTGATGGTTACCCACATGTCATCAATGATGAAAAAGTGTATATTAATAGTCCTATGGGACAAATGAATGATAACTGCCTATCGAGATGCTGGATAGTAATTTAATAGCTCAAAGAGCATCTTAAATTGGAATTTAAATCTGCCTGCGCATATCTCAAACATTACACTAGGCAGCAACACAGCACCATTTTTGTGCTTTTCCCTTCGCTCGGAGCGTGGAAGACCTGGCAAACAGACAACTCTGACGGAACAAAGATGACAGATTACTGTCACTATGGAAGCCAATCACAGTTTGTTCTGAGATTAAAAATATCTGTAATAAAGAAAATGGTTTAAAAAAAAGGATCCACAAAACTAAATATGCAAATAGTGTATTACAATTAAGATAGATAACAAAATTCAGGCAGTTTCCAGCTTAGAACAGGGTAACATTCTAAACAGTTTACTATAAACCAGATAGATGAAACTTCGAATTTATTTTCTTATAAAATTGATGTTACAGAAGTGATTCTCAAGCTAGTTCATAAATGCATAGCCCATAACCTGAAAATTCTATACCATTGCAATCCCAGCTGAATGTACTGCCCATAGGAGTTAACACATACATGAAACAATAACATAAAATGCAGTCATTTATTAAAGAGGCTATCATTTGAGGGGGAAAAACTCTTAGTTATTAGAACTGCTAGTCTTTCAGACCTATTCTAAAAAGGGCATATAAGGGCCTCAGGCATTCCTGAGGTGACTAAACAAGAATTAGAAAGATTGTAGAGTCTCTGAGTAATAACTGAGTTCTAAATTAATGAACAGAGGAATAGAAATTGATTCCCCTGAGATAAGTGACTAGAGCAGAGATCACAGAAAAATGTTAGGTTGGACAGTTTCCTGGACCCACCACTAAATTATATTGTTAATCCAGGACAACTTGGTTAGTAAATCTTCTCCTTCACGAGGCAAGGGGCTTAAAGTGCGCCTGAGAAGGCAGGCGACGTACCAAGACCTGCCTGTACAGACACTCCCACGCTGCCTTACTTTCTTCATTCCAAATTCACTATCAGGGAGAGGCGGTGAGGTGCAGTGGCGGGGGAGCGGCGGGCTCGGTCTCTTAGCAGCTAGGGGCTTTTCCAACGCGGCCTCACTAATGCATGCTTCCTCATATGTAACGAGAGACGCAACGTATTGAGAAACTGCCGAGGTCAAATACAGCCCATACTGTGTTAATAAATGCAGCTTAATATGCAGTTAATAAATGCAGTTAATAAATGCAGCTACTTCTAAAAGACGAAACGAGGTATTTTATTACCTCCCAGAGCAAAGTAAGTGAAAGTAAGTACAACCAGAAGTCCTGCTAGGCTTGGATTAAACAAAGGAGGAGACTCGCTGGAGAACACCTGCGCACTCACGCACGGGAACTAATTAGGGCAGCGCCGGGTCTTTCCGTCAGAACGCAGGCAGGTAGCAGCCCCCGCAGGAAGCCTTCCCTGGACCTCCGCTCGCCACTGCCAACCATTCCCTATTCTGTGCAAACGTGTGTGGGGGTGGGGGGGCACTTACTCCTGTCCTGTAATTCATCTACTTTACGAAGACTGAGTTGCTTGATGACGGTGACTTCATCTTATTCAACTCCGTGTTTTCAGCAGCCAGCGTGCCTGGCACACAGTCTCTATTAACAGCGACCGAATCGAGCAGTCTATGCCTCAGGTAAGACAACCACGACCTAACGCTTATTTATTTATTAGAATAAAACTTAACCTTTTAGTAAAAGATATGTGATTAATCGCACCATACACACACACATAAATCCACGCCAAAAAAAAAAAAAAAACCAGGAGAGGATCAATGAAAATCAAACATCAAAACTTAAAGCCCAGACCCTCTCAGGTAGAAGGGCTTTTGACGTTAAGACTTACTTTGGGTTATGACACCCTAGGTAACGACACTAGCAAGGCATTTGGCAGAAAATAAACGTTAACAAAAACCTACACAAAGCTGACTCCAATTGCATGGGGTGCTCGTGCTGCTCCTCAAACACCGCAAACTTGCCGCCGTGGCGCTCGCAGGTGTAAACCTGTGGGCGACGTGGCCGGACCAGGGCTACCGGGCCCCGGGACCGAGCGGCTGGATGCTTCCCTCCCCTGCGGGCGGCGGGGGCTGAGTCCCGGCAGGGTTCGGGCACGTCACTGGGGCACCGCGGCCGGTCCCGGTCCCGGTCCCAGCAGCGCGCCTGGGTCCACAACAGGCGCTTCTCCGGGGCTGTCCCCGCCCGGAGGCTCCGAAACGGGTCCCGCGCTGCAAGGACAGGGTCCCGGCCGCCTGCGAGGCCCCCCGGCCGCCCTCCGCGGCCCGCCCCGCGCTTACTCAGAGCTGCTCGCAGGCTGCGCAGTCGGCCGCGAACTCGGAACCCGGCGCCGCGCAGCAGCGTCTTCCCGCGCCGCTCCCGTCGCTCCTCATCCTCACCCTCCAGCCGAGGGGCCGCCGCCTTCGCCACGGTCTGGCCCGCAGCTCCTGCGGCGCAGCGCTCCGCTCCCCCACTTCCGGCCCACGCTCGGTGTCGCCGGCAAATGCCCCCGCCGGCGCCCACCCCGGCTCTCCGCCTTCCTCCCCGACGTGGGAACCGGCCCGCCCTTTCAGGCATGCGCAGACACCGCGGCCAGGGTCGTCCCCGCGACGGTGGCGCGGACGGACAAAAACCCTCAGCGTCCGGCCGCTGCGCCGGCGTGTTCCGGGGTGCTACTCAGGGCCTGTCTGCCCACGCGGTACCCGGAGACCTCCCGGGTGAGAGCTCGGATCACCCCAGATGGCTCTAGGGGAAGCAGTCCCTACCGAAGAACGTGTGTCCGCCTGGTAGGGCTGGTAGGGGTACGGGAGTGAGTTCCAGTACGCGCTTAGAGCGCGTCCTTACGTGTTTAACTCTTTTCCCAGCCCCGCTCTTCCTACCTTGATCAGGTGGACCGTCAGGTGCGGGTTTTGTGAGACTATCTTGAAAAATTTAGAGGGCCATTTTAAAGAAAATGAATGCAAAATTGTATTATTTTTGCAAATTTTACAAAAGCACAAACCATGGGGACATTGCTAGGGCCCTTCCTAGGGCCTTGGAAGTGGCCACACAAATGGGTTCCTAAAGCTGGAGCTTCATTAGCTTCCGCCAGTACCCCTGGGCACCAAGTTGTACTGCAGGGTTTATTCACAGATGCCTGTCTCCCCTCTCTTGGTCATTTTCTAATCCCTGTACCCTGCTTTACTTATACAGAGGATATTTCATAAATTCAAAAACAAATGTATCCTGCAAACAGATCAAGAGCTTGAAGTCAAAGCCAGGCTCTTGATAAAAGCTTCATTTTTGATCCCTAAAATGTGCCAGGCACTAAGGTAGACTACTTACATAAATAAGTAATAGTCATAGCAACTCTATGAGAGAATTAATGAAACACCCCTGATTCTCTTTGAACCAAGCACTAGAAAAGCTAAAATAACATTGGAGACTAGGATTTGAATCAACTTGGTTTGTCAGGTTTCGTAATTCATGATTCCTCTTACATCACTAATACACAGTGCAATGGCTTGCATTGTAGGAGCTCAGTATATGTGGAACAAGATACAAACGTGCAGACAAGTGCCCACTCATAAGATGGGCAATTATAGGGGTCTTCTAACAACACTGTTGGGTGTTCCTCCAAAGGAAATTGATAATTAAGTTCAATAGTGGATAAAGAAATTACCCAAGTCACAAAAGTGTCTTGTGACTTCACAAATCCATAATTGATTTCAGAAAAATGTTCAGATAATTTAGGTGAATTAGACATAGAAGGAAATTGAATGTTGTTCGGCTAAAAGGAACCATCTAGCTCTACCCTTAGCTAGCACTGCAAATTAAGTGTCAGTTTTGTAAAATGAGGTTTTTGTACGAGACAACTCCTAAGGGCACTTAACAGCTATAAAATGTTTTCTTAGCATCTGTTGCAGCAAAACCTCTTTCATCTTAAAGCAACAATGTAATAAGAGGAAATAATTCTAAAAGTTGTTTTTCCATCCTTATGGATAATTTCTCAATTCCCCAATGTGGAAAAAAGACAAACCATAAAAAAATATTAGTAGAAATCAACAGCTCTTGCGACATAAGGTCTGGATTTGTTTTCATACCTCAATCCTGCATACCTAGCACAATTACTGTATCATAGTAGGTGCTCAGTAAAGGTTTGCCAATAACTTTATTTTGAATCCTTGAACAGATACTAAAAGAATGCATAGTTGATTTCTGGGCATGAACCTGTTTATGTCTGTATGATGAATTATTTATTAGGCATTACTATGGATTATGTATTACTTCTGTATTACAAGACAAGAACTCACATCAAAGGTGCACCATCATGAAAAACAAATAGGAAAGGGCAGCTTTAGAGACTTGCAAAAGCCTATTTTTCCATTAAATGAAACAGCAGAAGTTTGGGGAGAGAAAATGCACTCCTCAACCTTGTTCACTTCCGCAACTAACCAGCGAGATGAGAAAGGATCCCACTGTTTGACACACAGGAAACAGAACTCTGTGAGGCAGTCACTTGCTAATGAGCAGGTCAGTAAGAGAGGACTTAGGCTCACGGTCCAAGTAAGGAGCCAGTGCACAGTGTTCCTGGGCCTCGCTCATCAATGAAAGCCAGGCTCTTGATAAAAGCTTCATTTTTGATCTCACGGGTCACGGGTCAGGCACCGCTTGCAAAGGGCACCGGCCCCTTTGGGAGGCTTACGGAAGCCGTGCTTGCAGTCGCATTACCGAGGTTCCCTCGGGTCCCGGGCAGTCTCGCTACTGGGTTCTCCTCTCAGCGGCCAACCGAGCGTCACCGCGCCTGCGCAGACCGCCCCTGTGTGGGCCTCAGGGCCTGATAATAGGTGCGCCTGCACCGCTCATCCCCATTGCGTCACGGCCCCCGGCGCTCGCAGGAGCAACTGGGCCTGCGCCAGGAGCAGCTGGCGGAACCGGCTTCTCGGCCTCGCGCTTCCGGCTTGGGGGACGCGCCGGCTGTGCGGGGAGTGCTGCGCCGCGGCGGGCCGGGCGCTCCCGGGAGTCCGTCGCGAGCCGGTGTGAAGCGTGGGCAGGCGGAGCTGGGCAGGCGTGGCCGCAGCACGGGCCGGGCCCCAGCGTCTTCCCAGTCCAGCAAACGCTTATGACCTTAGAAGTTCAGTTTTATTTTCGGACAGAAAGCCCTTCAGTTCGCAGGTGAGGCGCACGGCCCCCCGGCGGCCGGGCGGCGCGGGGAGCGGGTCTCTGGCTCGGGCGCTCGGTCTGGGCCCTCCCCGGGGGCCGGGCGGGGCGCTCGCGTTGGCGGCGCTGGCCCCCGGGGACGCCTCGGCTGCTCGGATCGCGTGCGTGCAGATCCCGCCTGGGGCCGCGGTGCGGACGGGGGAGTGGGCGCCGTCCGGGCAGCCTGCGGCCGCGGTCGGGGGGAGGCGCACGAAGCGGCCGTAGTTTTAGCGGAATCGCCTTATGTCTCTTCTTACGCCTTGTCTCTCATTGACCTCTGGCTTTTTCTTACCACTCGCTCGTTTCTGCGAGGCCCTCCCCAGCTGTCCCCAAGGGCCGTGGGACGTAGACGGTGTGAACCGATTGCCTCTCAGGGAGACACACCGTCTGGTCCGGGGTTGCACGGGAGAACCTTCGATTGCACCGGCCACTTTCTCTCTGAGAGCCTTGAACCACCCTATTCCCCGAGCACAGCCTTGCCGGGGGGCGCTGTGTCCCGGCGGGACCGCGTAGGCGCAACCGAGTGGTCGATGAGCCATGGCTGTGTGCTAATCGCTCGTTCTCATTTTCATGAAAGCTTCGGTGGTTGTCACAAAGTGAATGAAGTGTGCCCCTCTCCTCTTGTTTGCTTAATATATTGTAATATTTATATTTTAAATGTTGCTTGGATCAACAAACACTATTTAGTACTAAAAAGGAATGACTAAACGCCAGGTACTACTGTGTTAAGAACCTTATATAAATTATCTGATGTCATCTTAATTTCTGTAGTAACCAACCCCATTTTTCACTTAAGCAGAATGTTAAAGAAATTCTATCATTGTCCCCCAATCACACACTGCACAGTTAAACTCAGATTGATTGGAATCCAGAGCCCTGAGCCCTAAGCACAAACTTTGGGGTTTTTTTTTACAAATCACAAACATAAGCTAAAAACCTCAGAATACAGAAAATGTATTTAGAGAAGATGTAAAAAGCAGTGGAAATCCTAACATTTCCTAATTTATGCCTACCTGTTTTATACTAATTTTGGAGTCCTTCTTAACACTATAGCAGTTTTAGGATACATGTGTATCCCCACTATTACCTAGATTTCCATATATAAGAATTTGATGGAAATTCTTTGCTTGGGACTTGAGGGAAGTTGACTTTAAGACCACATAGAATCTACAGATAGAGCATAAACTGTATACTAATCTTGAACATTCAAAGAAATACTTCATAACATTCTTCAGTTTATATATATATATTGTATGTAAATTGTCAATGTAACATTACATTGCCCTAATGCGTCAGCTTGAGGGAGCATGTTTTGAGAGGTAGAACAGCGGACACACATGTGCAGGTGGTACAGTTATGCAAACAAGACAACAAGAGGAAGCAGTTACTGCATTAAAAGATAAAAGTCTCAGAACGAAGTCTCCCATGGGTTTATCTCTTCGTCTAACTAACTCGGTAGAATTGGGTTTCCTTTGTCAAGAATTTGAGACGTGCAGCGTTTTTCCTTAAAGGCCACCAAAATGGTTGTTGTGAAACTTTCCTAGTGCAGTCATAGCTCGTTTAAACCAAACTGAATCCCACCAGGTGTATTGGGGTGCATGTATATGTGTGGGTGTCCAGCCCCTGTCCTTCCCTAATGTCCTTTTCAAGGAACTCAACTCTAGGCAGTCAGTAATTCAGAAACGAAACTACTGTGTGCCAGGCGCAGTTGGCATAAATTGCAACACAGTTTCCAACCTCCAGAGACGGACAGTTTAGTAAATTAGCTGTTTGCTTTCTTGTCCTGGATATGAATAATACAGCCTTGTGCTGACAGTGTATGTGATTGATTGTTGTTTGCTGGGGTGGAGCATTTCATAGTCTCTGCACTGCAGTGGATCGCCCCAGCCCCCCTGCAGCCGCTCTGCCCCCCTCCCACCCCTGCTGCACGGGGGTGTCCCAGGAGCTGACACCACATGTGAATGCTGCTTGATGTTTCTGGGGCACACGTTTTTACTTGAAGTCTTTCCTGGAAAAGTTATTTTAATGTACAAAGTTTAAGGCATATTAAAATAGCTCTGATATCCTACAGATTCAAATAGAACACGGTGTGAATATATAAAACCTTAAAGAATTTCCTACTTATGGTGCCCACTTGAGGAAATAGTCTAGACTTTGGCCCAGCAAGGTGCTTATTCTCTTTCTGGCTTTAGAAGATAGTTCAGTGAAAAGCCCTGTCTCTTGACATTTTACTTTTTTGTTTTATTTTTGTTGAAGCACTTAGCATCTTACAGTTAGTTCCCATTATCCCTTTTTCTTTACACAGTGTCTGCTCTGTTAGGACAGAAGCATACTGTGTTGGCCTGTAGCTTGGTGCCTGGCTCATACATAGTCATGAAT